TCTAAAGTATACTATTCACTATAATGTTTAGTGGATGAAATAAGTCTTCACTTAAACTCAATTTTAATAATTGCGTTTCAAAAAATCTGAATTTGCATAAAAATTCGTACCTAATTATTATAATAATTGCCTGTAATAACAATTTTGTTGAGTTTATTTATTATTAATAAATTAAATGCAACGAATAGATTTAAATAGCGATTGAAAATAAATAGAGATGGGTTACTCTCGAGACGTCGAAACTTCGAAACCTGAAAATTCAAAAAAATTGAATAAAAATCAGTGAATAAAAAATCACATGCAACGTAAATAAAAAATGTTTGATTCATGTATATCTCGAATATATTGGTGCGAAATGTTTTGCGAATGCTCGATAATTGGTTTTTGTTTTTAAGGATATAAGCAGATTTGCGATCGATTGTAATACTGATGTAAAATGTAAAGTAATTAAATATAAAGAAATTTATCAAAAATATATCTTATTACATTGACATCAATGATATAATCTGAAAGACTTTTCAGTACATTTAACACTATAGTCGATAAAAAAAAAAAAGATTAACTCTAGAAAAATTAATTAATGTTCTTAAACAAGAATTTGAATTAGATATTTTTGTATGTTGTTATGTGTAACAAAGCCATAAATTTAAATATAGTATTTATATAAAAGTGTCAATCCCAGTTTGTAAAATAAACTTACAAGATGAAATCAACACTTCAAGTTTCGAGAGTTTCGAGATTTTCGAAATCTTATAAAGCTTCAGATTCAGGTTTTGAGAATTTAAAAATTAGTTTCGAACCTATTTCTGAAAATAAATTTACACATCTGTTGCGCATAAAAAAATACATGTATAAGTTTCTTACTTTCAAAGGATCAACGCCGGGGGAGAGGATGAAAAATACAGGCGTGATGGAACTCGTTTCTTCGAAGGATTTATGAAAAGGTGGAGATCTCGATTCAACAAATTTTGAACCAAGTTTTTCTTCGACGAAGCATCTGAATATAAAATAAAGTATTTTAAATAATCTTGGATAAAGAGGATATTTTCAAGTGTATACTAAAATTCTTTTTTATATTATTAATTATACTAAATGAATTAATTAAAATAAATATATAAATATTTAAAAGAATAGACTTAAAAATATTACAAAGAATGCTATATATAAACTATAATAAGCTATAATAAACTATAAGATATTTTCTTTTTGTTCATTATGTGTTAAAATTACAATTAAAAAACAAAAAGTTAAATAATATTTTCCTGCAAATTTTTTATACATAGAAAAAATTTCTATGATGTAAAAAAACAAAAATATACAAAACATAAATAATGCTCACATTATGATGCAAATAAGTAAAGAATGGAGCGTATTTTTTTTAATTTTTCTTAAGAATATATAAATATTATAATGTATAGAATGTATAAATGGGATTTTTATTTAAATTGATTACTACAATTAATTGTGATTTTAGAAATAAAAATACAACTATCAGATAATAGTAATAAAGAAAAATATAATGAGTGGGAAGTGATTCTTTGTGAGAAAATAAGAACTATAAAATAAAATTTTTTCGTTCGGGACGTTTTTCGAGAAAAATTGAGTTTGAAAATTTACCAAGTACACGTATATACTAACCAAGGCAATTTGTAATGAAACGTGTTCAAAATCTATTTCCTTGAAAATGAAATTTCAAATGAAAAAATTTTATTTTACATTTCTGACTTGTTTTTTCCCACGTAGAATAATCTCTTGTTAATCATTCATTTTTTGTTTAGTTGAGAATTAGTCAAATTCTCCAAAAGGGAACAAAAATGGACAAATCTCTAAAGGATCTTCTTTTTCGTACGAATTCGTATGAATTGTATTTTATAATGGGTTGTCTAAAAAGTATTGAGCCTTTGGAAGTCATAAACTGAGAATACATTATTATTATTATTGGAAAATAACATTATGAAACCACATATGCCTCATTTTGTTCGATGACCTTCTGCCATTTTTTGCCGGCAACACCATAATCCCATCGCTACAGTGGTTTCTGGTTCAAAAAATTGTGACACGTGGTTTTCACAGGCCTCTTTTCAAATTAAGTTAACACCATTCAAGGAATTCTGCTGAGACAAATGATAGTTTGACGGTGCCAGATCCGGGCTATATCTCAGCAAATCCTTTGATCCCTTCCAGAATATCATTCATTTTTTCTTTGATTGGTCGCCCACTGTGAGGAGCACCTTGAGCTCGAAATTTCCAGAACGACTAAACCATCTTTTGGCTGTTGCTTCTGATAACGTATCTTGCTCGTAAACAGTGCAAATTTCTTCAAGTGTCTTTATGAAAATAAAATTGTAAAATGCCTAACCCCCTGAGATTTGAGACACTAACGCAAACTCGTGAGTAAAAGGCTCAATATTTTTTACCCTTAATATTTGCAATAATTTAAAACTGTCCAAATACTTATGATAGTACATTTGATTGACCGTAATTTATATAAAGATTCAATAAAAGAAAAATTAAAATGAGAAAAGAAGTGATAGAAAATTTTCGTAAATTAATAAATGATCGAAAGGAGAAACAAATTCTGAGTATAAGATGTTAAAAGAATTATTATGATAATAAAGAGACAAACCTAATCGCATAAGTCATACGATCCAGTCTAAGGCATCTCATGATGCATAATCTCTGCAGGGCGGTTTTATTTTTCCAATCCTGCGGGAAAGTTTCTCGTTCCGGCGTTTCGGATTCGACAAACTTCTTCCATCGTTTCGCAGCACCTTCTATGTCTTTCTCCAGATTTTGAAAATCTTCCATCTGGCTTAGATATTTGATGCCGCCCCAACCGACGTCCGTTAAAAAGTCCACAGGGCTGACTAAGTCGGCAATGTATGGAAATCGCAATAGGAAATCAAGTTCCGATTGTGTGATCTCATGCGTTTCCATAAAAATCTGAAAGAATAGATGAATCCATATGACATAATTCGTGTGGCATAAACGCAATACTTGACACGGATTTTTAATTCGTTTAAAAGCTCAGTGCAGACGAGAAGTCTGCGGTCGTTGGACTTTTGCGTTTGCTTTCCTATCTAAAAAGCATTGCGCTCAAATTACTGCAGATTATAATTTCTTGTCTGAAATAAAATGTAATAGTCTGCATAAAATAATGTATTGCTTCATCGCGATGCGATGACTCTGCTTCATAGGAAAATTTGAAAGGTGAAAAAATACAAAATACATTAAGTACAGCAAAAATATATAAAGAATATCTGTATATACATATATATATATAAAATATTTATATATATATATATAATACTTATATATATTTCAAAAAAAGAAAAAAAAGAAAAATATGAATGATACGAGGAAGTATATTTATTGATGAATATTGATATAGTCGAATAATATTCTTAAAATTGTGTAATGTACTTGTACATTTTTACTTTTAACCAAGTTACTTTTAGTTTCCAAGTTTATACGCAAAATATTTCAGAAAGTAGTATGACATTCGAGAGACAGATTTCCTAAATAAATTCAATTTTTTTAATTATGTACATCAAAATACGAATTTTGCACAAAAGTAGATAAAATCAGAAATTTGTTTTATCACTAGGAAATTTTAAGCACATAATTTTTACATTGCATATTGCATGGATATGTATTTGTAACGTATTATAATAATGCTAAAATTTTATAATAATGTTAATGTATTATAATAATACTAAAATTTTTATTACAGAGTTTCTTGTAATATTCTAAAATATATTCCATTTCTTTCAAGTTAATTATTAATTTTAAAACTACGTATATTATAAATATATAATCCTTCTACCGTATTATCTAAAATTAATGATATTTCCAGAAATATTGGCACAGTTATGGTGTATACAAGTATAAATATCTCCTATAACAGAAATGTCATATGACATAAAGGCATTATATATAAATTTTAACAAGGAGCATTTTGTATTTTTATAATTACAATTTAGACAAAAGAAAATTTTTATAAATATAATTTAGATTAAAAAATTATATATTGTAATTGAAACTATAACAAATAAATTTCATTGCAAATGTTCGGCAAATTTATTTTATATGTATTCGACATAGAATTGATTTACCTGAATAGTCATTTGGCAGAGAAAAGTTAATTTATCAGCTTCAAATAATCCTCTGCTTGTATAAATGAAAACTAGATAGGTGATGCTATCGATTAATAGAGCTACACGTTTCGTCATATTCTCCGATGCTTCTGCAAATTTAATTGCGTTCTGGAAAACAACGCTGAAAGCTTTCAGAGAGAATTGATAAAGCATATTTATCTTGTTCAAATCGTTTAAAACGAAATATAAAAGGCTGGCCCGTGCCGCGACAGTGCGATAAATTTCTCGAGCTTCGTCTATCTTTACCGCAGTCACTTTAGCTTCAGCTACTTTTATCTCTATTTCCGCAGCAGTTTTCTTCGTAGTTTCCAGATTGATTACCAGATCGACATCGCTTAAAATGTCTGGTCCAGCGGCCGATAATCTTTGAAAAAGAACACAATGTTGTATTGTGACGTTTAAATGATACAACAAATTATTGAAATTTATTACATGTAGAGAATATTAGATACAAAGAAGACAGATAGAGAAAGAGCATAATTTGGTTGTTAAAGGTCTCATCAATATATAATTATATAATTATATAATATTATATTATATATTTTATCAATATAATTATGACAACATAATATCAATAATATTATATTATATAATATTATAAGATTATTACATCAATTAGTAAGTTGATAATATTAATATACATTAAAAACATATACTGCGGACTTTTATGTAAATTCATATCTTTAAAAATAAAATTAAAAAGTTTGAATCTTGATGGAAAATTGTTTTATGTAACAAATGTAACAAATGTTATAAAAAGTACAGTTTTAATATTTTATATGTTACTTCATACGTGCATTCTGTACAATTATGTACTTTAAAATTTCCTATAAATATATAAAAATTCGTTGTCCACTTATTAAAATATTATTAAATGTATCAAATGATTTTACTTTCGTATATAAAATTTGTAATATATTTATATCTATATAATATAATATAGTATAAACATTGTTTCATTTAATAAAGTAAATTTGTAAATTTTGTTACTGTTATGAATTATTGATTTTGATAAATATATTTTTAATAAATGTTTAGATGAATAAAGTAACGACCGGTATAAAGTAAAGCAAATAAATAAATAAATCATTATTATATTATATGATAAAACATGGTGAGAGAAAATTATATTTAATTATATCTATATTTGATAATTTAACGAGCAATAGCTAATTTAATATTATTTTTTTATTTTATTTTAAGCTAAGAATAATTAATCAATGAAGAATTGTCGACATTTTAAACTGTTACAACTTTGTAAGAAAAAATCTAGAATGTAAGAAAGAATCTATTGTAATTGGGCTCATTTTAAAACGTGAAATACCTTTTACAATATTGAGTTCGTTTTTTTTCAAAAATGTTTTTATATTACTTTGAAAAGAGAAAGTAAAAATACTTTTTCTCACGAAAATTTTGCGTTTTTGGGAACTCTTTTACTGAACATTTGTTTTTACTACAATCTATTATCTGATCTTAGAAACTGAGGTTTTTGTTCTACAATGAGTTCTCTACAATCATTTGTTATATGATTTTTTTTTATAAAGTTATAAGAGTATTGGCAATTTTTCATCGAATGTTCTACATTCAATGCGTATAATAAAAATTCAATATATGATGATAACATTCATTATATTGTAGGAATTCATATTTCAAAAATTTAGTATTAATTTTCAATGTAATAAGCAAAGGAAATAAAAATGCAATTTGTAAATTTGCGATTGCAAATATAAAAAATAGTATTTGATATTACCTTAATTAATAAAATTAGTATAAAATAAAATATATAAAATATCGTTGGAAATTGCATCATGTACCTGTGCAGAAGATCGTCTTCCAATTTTTTCAAGGTAATTTTAAAGGTATTTTGTTGAGTAGTTAATTCGGCTTTTTTCGATTCTAAATCAGGTCTTTCGGCTTTTACAACATCTCCTAGAAGTTGCTCCTCCAAACCATCTTTTGTTACGGTGAAGTTAATGAGAGTGGTTTGGGCTTGTATTTCAGGCTTATAATGAGGATTAGCTAATTTCGTTTGTATAATCAGCCGAAAATGAGGATCGTAATCTACTTCCTTATCCCAAATTTTTATCGCCCTTTAAAATCAATATTCCAAATACTATTAGAGTTCCATTGGATTTTAAAGTAAATGTAAATTGTCACATTTGTAAAACACATTGTAGATTATTAAAAAAAAAAACAATATACATATATACATATTCTTTGTGATTTTCGATTAAAAATTTTTCAACGGTAATTTAAATGTAAATTTTAGATTAAATAAATCGGTATTATTTATTTTCTCAAATAAATGGTATATGAATCTAATTGATTCTTTTAATATGAATTACTAAAAAGTCATCTCTGACTGGTGGATAGTTTATTGGAATAATATAACAATTGGATATTAAGATATTTGTAAAATAAAAGTGAATAAAAGATAATGTTGTTGTAAGAGATCTATTGTTATTCTAATAGATTTTATACTTGTAAATAATTATTGAATCACCCTTATATACTCACTTTCCTTTTTTTATTAAATCTCTTTTTATAACAGGATCTAAGACTGGGTCAATAGTTTCCATAATATTTTCAATTAAAACAATCCCACCATTAGCAATAGAAATTTCTATCAAATGCAAATAATTTGGTTGAGTAAGCCTCAGCACTTGTAACTCTTCGCCATATCGATTTTTTATCCATTTTATTCCTTGTAATTGTGGATCTATCATTAGAGGCCATCTTGTTGAATTCATTAAAATTGTTGCATTTTCTGAAGACATTCTGTCTGTTGGTAAGCCTTAAAGAATTTTAATTTTCAGTTATATAGAGTATTTATAATTATATAATATTTATATAATTATAATAATAAATTATTACATAATAATGATATTATTTGATCGAAAACTTAATCTTTTTGAAGAAGGAGGAAATCTAATTTTATATCACTATTTATTTTAATTTTTTAATTACCTTGGAATTTAATTTTACTAGGATTTTAATTTTACTAGGATTTGATTTAATTACTCAAATTATTATATATGAAAATGGAAAAAAAGAAATCGTTAGAAACTTGGGAATAATCTATACAGTATTGATTATAGTATTGACAAAAATTAATTGATCGAATTGTAGTGACTATTAAAATAACTTGTTTCACATAAATGAAATTGGGTAAGCAATAAACAGAAAGAAATATCAAGAAACAAAATATTCACTAAACGAATAATTTTTCAATGTATATAGATTAATACATTTTTTTATAGAGAATGCGTCAAGCTACGTCGACTAATGAACAAAAAAATATATGGTTCTATTTAAAAAAAACAGAGTTTTTGAAATCTCTCTAACTACAAAGTAATTGTTATTATAATATAGCTTCTATATTGAACAACTTTCGTTAACAAAATTTTTTCTCCAAAAATAACGAAGGTATTCAATTGTTAATTCTTATTGGACCATCCTTATTAAAATGTATTCACCTTCGTTGTTCCATTGTGCAATTTGTGCATCGTCTGTCAATAAAGATAAAATATCTAAATCAGGAGTCCTTGGTATTTTTAATTCCAAGCCATCTAAAAATGGTAGCCAATTTTCGTACATTAAATCGGATCTATATTTTCGAGTGAAACATCCCATGTATGATAAAAATGCTGTTACAATAAGCACATCGCCTGGTACTGTCACACACGAATTTGTCAACCTAGAAATTTAAATTTATTAAAATATTCGCATTGGTAGTGTAGGAAATGACGAATTTATTTTCTATCGATAATAAACATTTCAATTTTTGTCTTGTCTTTTTAATCCTTGTGTCGACAAATAAATATCTATTTAAGTATTGGTGCACGTACACATTTACAAAAAAGTAATTTCAATAATTTTTTAATGTGTTGTCAAAGATATCATAATGTAGTTCTGTGAAGTTTTTAGTTGATGAATGTTTATTAAAAAATTACTAGCAAAAGAGTTTACTCGATTAATTTGTATTTTTATACGTGTAACTGTATTAGCTTTTTTTAAATAAATTGCTATAATAAACCTTGTTATAATAAAAATTCTCTATTAAATCAAAAAATTTATTTAATTATATCATTAATAGATCCATTCTATTTGAAGAATAAGACAACAAATAAAAATTAGATGTAGAAGGAGTTTATATTTATATACATAAAAGAATAATAATTATAAACGTTTTTACTAAGTAACATTTTATTCTTTTATGTTTAATATAAAATAAACTGTTATATTTAATAGAACTAACTAAATATACTAAATATATTGATTTTTATTTATAGTATTACTTTCCATTCGCTTTATAAATTTAAATTATAAGCATTTGTGTATATTTAATATCATTTTGCTTATAATTTCAAAATTAAAAGTTTTATCTACATGTGATCGTTCAAAATTAAATTAGTTCAAAAATATAATAAATAGACTATGAAATAACAAACAACTAAATTTGTTTAATAAATTTGTTTATAAAAGCCATATTTAAAGATGAGCTATGGAAAATCTGTCTTGTAGAATTCTTTATTTTTGTACTTTGTCGATACTCTCAGTATTCCAATATCCAATATTGCGCGATTGATATTTTAATTTTTATAACAAATCATCGATCGTGGACATGTCCTGATTGCTACAGTGGAATATCGCATATTCCTTCATTATAATGTCAGAGATACGTTTCTTGACGTTGAGTGACAAACGTTCAGTGCTAGTGTCTTAATTAGTATTTTTGTTTGGAATAATCTCCTCGTTCTTTGTTTGTGTCACAGTGGTAACACAAGCAAAGAACAATTCGACTTTCTGACTTTCATTTTTAAGATCAAGGTCAATTTTACGGAAAGTTTTTTACATGAATCTCCATCAAATCAAAAATGAAATTACGCTGTAGTGGTCGAGATATATTACAATAGTATTAAAAATATCGTTAATCGCAAAAGTAATTAATTTTGCATTAATTAAACATATTTTTATAAGAGTATTAGAAAATACGAAATAAGAAATAATAAAAACTAACATTTTTACTTCCTCAGTCCATCGGATCTTTTCAGACGCTAAACCATTTACTAATCTATTTGCAAGATCAATTGTTAAAGCAGTAGCATCAGCTTCATCCTGACATTTTTGTTTTTCAGCTAATGCTGCATTCATTCTTTCTCCTAAAATGTCCAGCACTTTTTGCAGTTCCTAGAAGTGTAAGAGAAAGGAAGAGAGTAATTTATTGAAATGAATAATGATTATTATAAGAAATTATTTTACACACACAAAATATTACAATATACTAATATAGGAGTATAATATTATTTTAAATTATACTACAAAAGTGACAAATATTATACTTATTCACTGGCATTATGTACTTTTTAGAAAATATACAATTCTATAACATTTATTGTGACATGTGTAATGAAATGAACATTAACTTACTGTTAATCGCATTCTCAAAGCATTCAAGTGATCCATAGCAGCTTTCAGTTCGGTATTTGCTTGTGCTAATGCAGCTCTCAATGGTTTCACCGCTTCATTAATATAATGGAAAACCATTATGTTTCTCACCCAACTGCAAAGACCTGCAGCAGCTTGCGATTTTGAGTAAATAACTTCTGGGTCAAAATCTGAAAGTGTGATATAATTATTGTTTCTTTCAGTTAAATATATTAGTATAAATGAATAGTTAGACACTTAGTGAAATTCTATTTGATTGGCGAATGTTTTTCTACTATTAATTTTCTGTATTTTCAAGTTTCATATTGATTCATTTATAAATATATAGCTTCATAAATTTTACTTCATAATATATAGCCGTTGTCTGTCGGTTTTTCTGTTTCTTTTACTTTAATATCTCTGATGGAAATATTAGAGTTAATGCTTTAGTCATCGGTAGTTCCAGTGTGAATATTTTTATTATTTTTTCTCTGTAATATTCTTCATAAGTTTCAATTCTTTGATTTTATTATAAGATTTTATTATAAAATAGAAAATTCAACAAAAATAATCTTAAAACTATGATCATTATCGTTAAGCTTTAATCTAATATATTCAATTTAATTTATTTAGAAATAAATGAACATATGATTTTATTAATCATAAAACTAATTATTACTTAAGTAAAGTAGTAATTTATTAAAATATATAAGATTTGTAGATGTTTATATTAATTTTGATATTTATATTAATTTTATTAGTATTTTCATTAATAGTAGTTCAATTAAAATTTAATAATAGTTTAATTAAGTTAAATATTAATTTAATCAGAATTTATTGTTGACCTTTATGGTTGATATAAGGTTGAATAGCTTTGACCACTTCAGGGTAAATATTCTCTTTGTCATAATTTCGAAGTTGTGAGAGAAATGTATCAATGTGTCCCATCATCGCTTTGCATGCTTTCCAACTTCTATCTTTTGGAATTTGGCCCCTGGGAGAAAATAAAACTAAAACAGCTTCTACCACCATTGCTACTTGTTCCGGTGGAGTTCCAAAGGATTTTAACTCTGTTAAGTTGTTCTGAAAATATAGTAATTTTGTAAAATATCTCACAATAGATAAAATCTATTTATCGATTCCTTTTATTAAAGATGCTAAATTAAATACTTTATGCTTTACGCTTTATTTGACATGATACTTGATAAAACAAAGACAAAGAGTCTATAAAATATTAATACATTCATAATCGTATTGTAAAAACACAAACAAAATTAAAAAATTGTAATATCTGCAATAAACAATAACTATAAGAAACTTGAAGTGTTTTAAAAATTTTTTATTCCGAATGTCTCCTCAGTTTTGACAATTATACAAAACGAAACAATTAAACTATAAATAAAAGATAAAAATTAAGTTTGGATTTATTATTTTATTAATTTTATCTTGGTCTTTCGACAGGCTAATCAGAAACAAATGGATAGATATGTTACACTGAATAGTGAATGTTTGTTTCTATTTTATATTTTATATAAAAAATTGAAAAATAATGCAACACTGAGGTTTCTTTATAATAACTCTGGAAAATATAGTACATATTATCAAATATTTAATCGTTATGTATCTATTAATAAATTGTGTATTAATTCGTACTTAAATATTTCATGTTGAAATATCATGAAAACATTGGAGTAGTTATAAAAATCATAAATGTAAGTGTCAAAATTGGATCTATCTTTTAAACAAAGACTTTTACTTTATTTAATGTGTCAAGAGCAGCTTCAGCTTGCCGAACTGCAGGCTCCGCTTTTGCTAAATCTTCGTCGCATCTTCTTTGTTTTTCTGCTACTGTTTCCTTTATTTCTGCTACCTTCGCCTCTTCTTCAGACACTGTATAAGAATTTTTTATTCAATTTTTTATATTTTTTATTTTATGATACAGTAGAATTATAAGAATGTAATATTGCAGTTACAAGGATATTATAACAAGATTGTATATTAGTTAAATTGTACATATAATAATTAGTTCACTAATATATCTATCAATGCATTTAAGTTTATCAAATGGTTATCAGTGGACTGAATTTAATGCATTTTTATGTATCTATGAGAAATTTAAAATTCACAAGAATGGAATATAGATAATGTGCAGAAATATATTAAAATATAATATAGTATATTATGATATAATTATAACTATATTATGATATAGTTATAATATAATAAGTTAGAACATAATAGAATATTATATATTATATTATATTATATATTATTAGAATATTATCTATATCATATCAACATATAATAAAATATATTAAAATCCAAAGCACGGTACTTTTTATGATATTTCATTTTTAATCTAGCCGACTATAGTAATTTATATTATGTTACAAAAATTTATATTTTTTTGATAAAAATTAGTAATAAAAAGTCCAATGAAAAATTTCAAAATTCCGCAATGTAATAAATAAATTTCCATGACTTCGAATATTCAATGACACTAATTAAAAGTTAATGGATCATAAATTATAAAAGATAAAATTAAAAAATATATATATTATAGAATTATATATATAAATTTAATTATAAAATTAAAAAATTTATAAAAAATATATTATAGAATTATACATATAATGTATGCACATAAAGTGCATATATATGTATATGTACAATAAAGCACATATATATAAAATACAAAATTGCATAATTATCCGTAGTCTAATTATCAGTATCAAAGAATAAACAAAAATGAATTTGAGACAATTGAACATAAAGAGCAAAGTTTAACCGATGGCTTTCTCCGCTTCTGCTTTAGTATTCTCTGCTCGAACTTCCGCAAGAATTTTATCTGCTATTTCATTCTTCTTCTTCAATTCGATTTCTTGCACTGCTAATACAACTCTTAGTTCGCTTACCTATCGATTAACGTCCATATGTTATGTGAATTTATTAAATCAACTATATTTATTAAGTCAGCCTACAAATAATGTGTTTTGTTTTTCTTTCTTCTTTTTTGAAAATTAAATTTAAGACAACTGAGGTTGTTACTACAGAAATGTTAAAAAATTGCATGCAATAGAAAACTTAATAAAACTTAATGAAAAATAATAAAACTTAATAAAAAAAGATAATGAACTGTACTTGGCCAGCACAAGATTCTAGTTTCTCCAAGCCATTTTTCAATCTTTCTATCATCGCTTTCACGTCGTAGGTTCTTTCCACGAGCAACTTCGAGTACAAAGAAATTTGCTCCAAGAACGTCTTCGGTGTCGTGTAGTTGTATCTTCTTTCGTTTTGTAAATAAAGTGAGGAAATGTCGTTGACACTAGTATGCACGTACGACATGAACAAAGAAGCTGGCAGTTTGTATTCATTCGGTAGATCTTCTAATTCCTGCAATTTGTAAGTGATACAATAATGAATCTAATAAGAGAGAAAGTGAAGTAGCATTAGGCAGATAGATTAAGTTTATTCGTAATAATCGAGTAAAGTGATTTCATTATCTGGTTTCTTATACAAAGTGTCTCTGAAATCATGGTATAGTCTTATCAAAAAACAGATTATAAAAAGAATTAAAAAGTACGATATGTACTTTTTATATATTTAATTTCTAGTGCTTAAATTTTTTATTTTACGTAATTTCTGAATTCTATTAGATATGGAATTTTTAAAATTTTATTTATATTTCAATTATATTTCACATTTATATTTAATATCCCTTTTAATATCCTTTCCTTGATTAACCCACTTACGCCCATAAAATTGAAATCTAGAATTATTTTGATGGTGTTTTTTTTTTATTAAACAGGTCTTAAATGGACCATTTGAAAATAACAGTATTATTATTGAAAAAAAGGCGGTGTACTTGCTTGAACTCATATTTCCCAAGAAATAATAATGTTGTTATTAAAAGGCAGATAATATTTAACAAAAGCATTTTTTACACAATTATCAATCTTTAGTCAGACACTTATTAGTCTTTAATATTGCATCACTTCAATTACTTACTAGTCTTTAATAATGGATCATTTTTAACAAAAAAAATACATGAATAACATACTTATTTGCAAAAATTTAAACAAAATTAATATTCACTTAAAACAACAAAATTAGTTTTTGAATGTTGTATGCATCAATGGTTAGTTTTGAATGTTATACATTAACAAAGTAATAAACAGAGAAACAATTCACATCTGGAAATTTCACTGGTGTACTTCTTTGAATACAACAAACGTTAATGGGTTAATTAATGATAACTACAAGTTTTAAAGTCAAGCAATATAAATTTTTAAAGTCAAACACTAACATTCTACGTTCCTAGATTTTTAATTTCTTTATATCATCTTCATTGAATTCTTTAGAACAGTAAATCAGCACTGTATTAGAACAGTAAATCAGCATTGTGTTAGAACATTTGTTCATTTTATTCTGAACGCAGTCAATTTTGAAAAACAGAATCTTCTCGACTTATTTTCCTATGTAGAATTATTCTTCATTGATTACTTGATTTCAGATACATGCACACTTTGTACAAAATACATATTTGCATGTTCTTAGTTAATTAGCCGGAACTCGTTTGCTAAGAACAAAAACGAGACAGCCAACTGATTTTACTGAGATTAAAATGAATAGTATGAACATAATGAAGGAAGTGGAACTGATTTAAAATTAATTGAATTCGTGATTCTCGTGTGTTCTCGTGTGTTCTCCAGTTAATTAAGTACAATTAATAAGACGAATAAGCTTAGATGACGAAGATTCTAACAAATTGTAACAGTTTCGTTATTATGTTCGTTTTCGCTCGATATTCAAAGTTCAGTAAAAATTTGAGAAAAAAATCGTACAGCAAGTTTTGAGGCGTTGTGATAAAGGAGAAATTTCAAATTTATTATAGATTCAGTCATGAAAAAAATTTAGTCTTACTTCCAAGAATCTCGTCGAAACGGATCTCAAAGCATCCTCTGGCCAAGTTTGAAACCAGTTGATCGAAGTATTGTTTACAATTGCCGGAAACTGTCTGGCTCTGGTTCTCAAAGTTGCGCCAACAGGAGAAAAACAAAGAACGCATTTTAAACGACTTCGAACTCGATTAATGAAAAATTTCCAGCAATTTTCTTTGGTATCCATCATACCGGTTTGCCTTACCTACAATATAATGAATAAATGTCGATTTATCATGCCATGATATAGGTACATACTATAAAAATGAAAGAAAAATATGATTCTTACTACCTGCAAAAAATTTTTAAATTACTATTAAGTATTATATAATAATATTATATAATATATTATTATAAGTATTATAATAGTATAATAGTATAATAATATTATATAATATATTATTATAAATATTATAAAGTATTATAAGTATTATATATAATGTTATACAATGTATCATTATATATTATTAATTATATAATATTATTATTTTATTAAATTATTAGTTTTTATATTATTAATATAAAATCGTATTTATTGGATAAATAAGTGCTTTTAAGAAATTTTGTTCGAAAATTCGAAACATTAATTAATACGCAATAGCTATAATTTTCTTTTTAAATAGTTTAATGACAGTGTTTCTTTTGTAATAAGTCTATTTAAGAAAAAAAACTATAGTAAATGAATATCAACATTACATAAAAGTTTACGTAGAATACATATAGAAAAGTTGACTGAAATAAAATTATTTTACAAAATTATTCAATTATTATAAACAAATAATGAAACGTACTTCATTTCTCACGGCATTCACGATAATATCCACTTCATCATCGGCGAATAATTCGGAAATTTCGCCGAAAGCAAGCATATCGTTTATGAGTACTAAAAATTTTTCATCGGCAACGTGAGAATCAGTCATCACGAAAGTAATCCCAATTCCTTTCAACCCAGATTTTAAATATAAACCTGATAAATCGGTCCTTAGATCATATATTGAATAACCAGTTCGTAACTGTATCTGGAAAACCTAAAATATGAAGGATGGATTCATTTTTATTTAGATAGATTGTTCTTACATTTTATGCCTGTATGTTAATTTCAATCCGATTATAAAAGAATTTCATAGTGAAAGCTTCTAGCTAATCTTAAGTATATGTACAAGGGTCGCGGTAAATTGATTTCACATTTCTTAAATACCAATTTCACTATAGCATCACTATATTGCTTCTTTGCTGTCACTTAGAATATTTTCGATTCAGTTAAAGTGAAATAAACAGATTCTAATAATAGAGAATAATGGATTTTATGCAAATTTACAGAATACTTAAAAGTGCAAAATTGCACACATAATTGTGAAAAAATAATGTAAAATATCTATAATGTTTGATATGTAAAATAATTTCCAGGTATTATTCTTTTTTGTAATTATATTCTATGATATTTTATAACATTCTATTATATTTTATAATTAAATTCTAAATATTCTATAACATTCTATTATATTTTATAATTAAATTCTAATATAATTATATTCTCGAAAATATTGAAATTTGTATAAAATTTAAATTTATATCCTTGTTGCGTCAAAAATTTACATTTTGTCTAGAAATCTAAGGAAGATGGCATAAATTGTATCGTTTATTGTATTTATAATTTTTTAAATTATTTTTTATTTTTTTAGTTGATTAATTTAACTTTTTATTATAGTTGACCTTTAATATTTAGAATTTGAAAGATATAATTCCGATTTCTTAATGGATAAGTAGGCAATCAAGAAAGA